AAAGAAAAGAAAAGAAGCAAGTCATGAAAGGGTGGGGATAGAGCCTGCCCTCTGTGCACCCACGCAGCTTCACGGCATCCAGTTGCATTCCCCATCTCTGCCTTCTTACCTCATGTACGCCAACCATATCCCATGAGCCCAAGTAAGGCCAGAGTTAGACTGTCTATTACCTCAGAGCTCCTAGACACAAAAGGTTGAAACATCCTCAAGAGAGGAATTTCCTACCTTCCTGCCCCAAAAAAATCCAAGAGCAAAACAAAGCCAGGAGGAAAGAAAAAGCTGTAGGCTTCGAAAGCTGATTTAGAGACCCGCTGAATGGGATTGAGCCCTATGACTAAGAGCTTCTTTCCATGTTTATTTCTATAATGGTAAAAAACATGCTTCCAAATTAGGAATGCCTTTATTTTGAAGTCCAGACAGCACTTTCCCCTACAAGCAATGCTGCTATGTGCTTGACAGGGGAAGGAGAAATGCCTGAATCCCTGAACACAAGTGACTAAGTATGGCTCTGCAGCCATTCATATTTGAGCAAAGTGAACGGAAAATTGCTGTTGTATCACTGTGATCATGTCTGACAGTCACTCGGCCTCCAAAGTTGTTTCAAACAGAGTGCATTCAGCATGCACCTTCCAAGAGTATGAGAGAATGTATGAAGAGTTGAGAAACATTTGACTCCTCAGTGGTCATTAGTAGTACAGTATAGGCTTGGGTATACAAGGGCTTCCAGAAAAGCTCAAAGAAATGTAAATAAACATAATTAAATTCCTTTCTTTCAGAATTCATTTGGTATAGCTCAACTTACTTTTGAATTTAAGCCACCTCAGATTAAGGATATTTGTTCTGAATAAACATGTCCACACATGAGTTTAATCCACATCAAATCAATTCTGATTTATATTCCTGAATAGCCTGTGTTGACAAACTCAGTGTTAACAGGACAGCTAGTTGTCAATTCAAATACACTAGGAGATAATCATTCTCTAACATCTGAGAAACTGGGAAAGCACATGCTTCTGACTAGTGCCCCACATACCAGTGTCCTAATCCCTGTGACTCAAAGCCACATGCCTCCATCAAAAAACATTTTTCAAAATTCATAAACATGCTAGCAACATAAGACTTCTTCAGGAAATGCTCCTACTGGTCCTACACTGGAGTAGGACTAGATGATTATAAAGAACAATTCTGTATGTAAGCTCCAAGTCAAACATTCAGCCCAAACCATCCTTTAAGTTCTGTCTACAGACAAATTCCATTATTACAAATGACTTGTAGCTTTAAAAAGCCTGTCTAATAAGCATAGGCCCTACTGAGGTGACAGCTAGAGACATATCCAATCAGTGACAGACACTGAGGCAGGGTAACACCAGTTTTATTGATGCCTATGGCTGACTGATTTTAACCAACATGAGATTGGCATATTTGGTTCACTGCTGATAAGTGAACTAGGTCCCCCAGAATCATCACTAATGATCAAGTGCTTTGTGGATTAAGAGTCTCAGTGCAGAACAGGTTAGCACCCTTTCAGATGTTCTTCCAGCTGTCAAAGAGCAAGAACAAGCCAGAGCCACAGAAGACTCCTTGCTAGACCCAACGCTATCAGTTCAGTAGTAGTTGAATTTTGTATTTCTACTTTAGCCCAATTTTAGTTTTCAGCACAGCTGTGAAATCCAACTTGCACTGCAATTCCAAAATCCACAAAGAACAGCTAGTTTCCACTGTGACCTTTTGTTTCTCATCTAGTTAAAGTAAGGTTTTGTGATCCAATAGTATGTACGAATGATCACTTCCAAACCAAAAAGCATCTAATGCAGCAATACTGTTTATGCCTAGACCAGAAGAGTTGCATGAATTCACCGTTGTAGGACAAGCTTTCTGTGGTGAGTAGTAGTGCAGCTCTGCTGAGCAGAAGAGATTTCCCCACTTATCCCAGCCAATACTGGCCCTGTCCTTTTAGAGAGCATAATATCCTGTTTTTATAGAGTACTTACTCTCTGAAAGTAGGAAGTCATCCCTCTGCTTTAGCAAAAGGTACGACCTAGTTGTGGAGAGCTTTGTTGTACACACCAAACTTGTAGGAGCCACATAGTATAAGTGTGCAATTAAGCAATGGTGCTTGCTACCGAGTTATCCTCCTGACTTCCACTATTATTAGGAGTGAGAATGGGCCTCTAGGCAGTAGAAAAATGGCCTTGATTATCTGTGCTGTCTCAGGAACCCTAAGTTCAGTTCCCAGCTCCAGCACAAGCTGCCTTGGATTCCTCAAGAAAACTGAAAATTTTCAGTTGTTTTATAGAGGAATTGGAAGCAGTCACTGTATTTGGGTGGCTTGTAACATAAGAGTCCCAACTGCCACTGGAAGCTTTAAATTCTTTTTCCATTGTGTGGACCCTACAAGTTTTCCAGTATAGGTAGGTATCTATATACAGAAAGTTTAAGCCTACAGGCAACAAGCTTTCTTCCCTTAACTAGAAATCCATTTTTGTCCAGCTCTGCTTCAGCATTTCTCCACCTCTTTACCAACATATGCAACAACTGCATATTTGGACTGCATGAAACATGCCAGGGAGGAAACTCAAATCACATGCACATAGCAGCTGACTGGTACCCCAGGTGTAAACTAGCTACCACCTTAATACAGATAAGAGGGAGCTATCAGAAAGGGCTGGCTGGTAACTGAAACAAGCAATGGGTGTTTGGAATTATGTCCTAAAGCCATGCAAGTGTCCTATGCAACATACGAATACTTCAGTAAATTTAAGTGAGCGCTCAGCTAACCAGACAGTTGAGGAAAAAGGGTCAAGAGGTCACTTTGCATTTAACCATCAAATCAATGGTGAGGATCCAAAAAACAGAGGTTCCTGCATGTTGTACTAACATGCCAGTCAGACCTGTATATACTTAGAATGCTATTTCTTAACAATATCCCAGATTGTTTTTGTCCCTGACAAAAATCACAGGAGGCATCAAGAAACAAACCTCTGAAGACATCCCCAAATATTTCTCAGAGCTTTCCCCCCAGTCTCTCCCTGGGGAGAGGCTGACCCCTACAGTCTCCAGCCTGGAGAACCAGAGGACAGAAGATCTGCAGGAGGTACAGAACAATCTGCATAAAACCTCTGATCTGTCTCAGTGGTACCTGCCCTGCTCTTAGCAAAGTTCTAACATCAGGTCAAGACTTTCTTTATGGCTTCAACTGCTGAAAGTCCATTAGCCAGTATGCCAAGAATCCCCAGACCAGAACCATCTTAAATACAAAGCTATATATTTTTACAGCTGTAAAACTTGAGAGAAAAGTTGGACTGGTAGAGGCACAGTTCTCCACCCCCATTCCTGATGCCTGTACTAAGCAAACATACAAAGGGGGGGGGGGAACATGGGACAGGACTTTCCCCTAGAAAAGAAATCACTATTTAAACAGGGAACAAAGCAAACTTATCAAACCCTATGAGACTAGAATATTTCAGAATCCGGGTAAATAGGCTATAGAGCCTTTTACCTCTCTAGGATTGACTTAAACCCAGTCCTAGTGAGCAGAGCTAAAAGCTGTTACTACTTGATGAAGGTTCACTGGCCTCAAGAGGAATTTAGTGGGCTCTGTCCAGTTCTCCTGGACAGATTTCCACATGAAAAGCCATCATAACCATTGGCAGCTCTCCACAGACCAAGCAACCATAGAGAATATCAGTCCCTAACATCTAGAGATGGTGCCCTTTATCAAGGAAAAAGCATTATTGATGGGACACAGAATGGGTTTATATTGCTAGAGCTAGTGCTTTTGCTGTCCTAACAGCAGACATAGTCTAGTGCATTAAATATTCAGCCTCAGATGAAGAGCTGAGATCAAACGTCTGCTTGACTCCAATAGCTTCTGCATAAATACATATTAAAAAAAAATCAAACAATAACCATTCCCTTAAGAAAATAGACAACTAAAATGAGAACACTGGATTTGAGTAGCAATGTAGTCTTCAGGAATGCTGAGGAATGTCTTAGCATTTTGTTTCCTTTAGGTAGCATCTCACAGAGTGAACATCAACCCAGGTCTAGAGAAAGTCCCCAGTTCCCCAGTGTTCAGGGTCCCCCTAGCTAAGAGCAGACCCCTTGAGGGCTGCAAATGCTGATGGCAGCAGATAGTGCCTTTTCCTCAAGAACTGAGGGCTTGACTCAGACAAAGCAAACAGATTATCTTGGCTGAGCATTTGGGGAACAGAGGTGCAGATAACTTCAGTGATTTGCCCAAGGTCACACAAGGAATACACTAGAGACTCAAGAATTAAGTTCAGAACCCTCCAAATCAGGGTCTGTCTTGGCCACTTCTCTGCATAACATGCAGATCCCAGATTCTGGCTTCTCCCAGCACAGTGGTACTATAGTAGTTACAACAAAAAAAACAAAAACAAACCACAACTATCTCTACACAATTATATCCACTTTGGACAACCTATGACTGGAAGATGCAATAAGAAGCTTTAAAGGTATAGAAAGGATGAAGAAAGCTTCATTAGAACTTCAACAATTCCCAGAAAGGGAAAAAACTCTTTGCATCAATACAACTGCAGCAAGACCAAAGGAGGTGGAGAACCAGCTTTAGGCCCAGTTCTGTTGAGGTTAGGATAGACAAAGTACAGCTGAGGGCAAACACAAACCACTATTGATCTATCCTGCTGCAAGACAGTCAGTGCATACAGAATCCAGAGTAAGAGTAGCCATTCTATGGTCAAAATAGCTCATGCAAAGCCTGCAAGACTAATAGAAAGAAGTCTAATATTCGCATCTTTCAAATTGATTGGTAACAGTGATTCTCTAACAAACCTTCAAGAAGAGTCAAAGTATTCATGACATCTACGTGGAGCTCAAAGGGGAAAGTGTCAAACAATAGCACTTCTATAGGAATAAAAATAACAATGTTCTTTTTATAATTATATTTCTAATCTGAAGAGCCTGAAGTTAAACAGATGTTAATAAAAATGTTAAAGCAAAGACTTCAAGAAACTCACCTGAGTCTGCAAGCAACACAAAAGCATGGATGGGAATATAACCAACAGATCCTACACACCTGTCTCCTGGTTTAGGCACTGCTAGATTCTGTAGCAACAGCAAGTAAAGCAACGCAGATGTGAGCTTTGAACCCACAGCCTGCTGCCTGGGACATAGGTTCTTTATCAGCTGAGCCATGGACTAAAATGCTAGTCTTTTGCAACACGCACACATGACTTCTGTTTCTCTCAGATTTGCCAAATAAGCAAATCAGAAACCAAGCTTCCTGTTCTATTTAAAAATCTCAGTCAGCAAGAAGTACTTCCCTCCTCATCCAGATCAAGTCACATGGTTTAGAGTCCTTTTTGTTAATACAAATCAGAGCTGCTGGGTCATCAGGCAAGAAGTTAACACAAATATTTGTGTGATAATTCTTTGCAAAATCCTCTGCTATTTTATATCATTATATACACACACTGACAATCTGGCCTTAGTTTTGGTACCGCACAGGCCTTGGCCTTGTTCTTCAGTGCTTACTAATAAAAAAAGCAATATGGTCATGTGTCTGCCCTCTAAATTTGATTCATATAACAAGCATTTGTAAAGTGGCTATAAAACATCTAAAGGAACTAAAGATTGAGCTTTATGCTAATCCAAAACCCTCTTGACTCATTTTCCCTCTTTTTTTTTTGAGTTTACAGCATTAATATATCCAAAATATTAGGACACTGATTAAACCTTCCCATGAAGTTAATGTTAAGGATCTGCAATATCTGTTTTAAACAAAAATAAGAGGCACATCTTGCTCATTCAGTATCCTTCAGGATATACACATAGCTACAAAACATCATATAAATTACTTTGTTATAAGGAGGCCCAACCTTACAGAAGATGAGAAACTGGTGGAATAAAACTCCTTTTTGCAAAGGGTAACAAAAGAGATTGTGAATAGGTATTAACTATTGCTACTAAATCATTAGTCTTGTAACAGAGTTCAGTCCTAGGCTCTGCCTACTGTGTTAGGTACTGCACAAAGGTGGCGCAAAGTCCATACTCCAATCTGAAGAGTTGGAGCTAATTCAATGGGATGTTAAGGGAAGAAACCTGGAGCCCCAACTATTTAGGCAAAATTGCAAGGGGTTTCTAGAGGCACCTGATCTAGGCACTAAGAATAAGCAACTGGATTTTTCAGAACTCAGTATGCTGGGTGCTGAGCATTCCTGAAAGATCAGATATGATCATCTCCTGCTGGGGTGTGTATTTTGAAATATTTAGCCCAGAATTAACAACACAAGCATTTGAATACCTGGCCTTAAGTTCTTCAGAAGCCATCTGGCTTGCCTCTCCCATCAAAATTTGACTTCAAGATGCACATTTGGGGCATGAGCGGGCCCATATCTACTACTCAAAAAAGCCATAAGGGACAGTTCCTTCAAAAGCTCAGCACTAATTAACAAGTACTCCATAACCCAAATAGGACTACTTTTCTGAAGTACTCAGTACCTACATAGGCATTCATACAAAGCTACATTTTCAGAAGTGGTTGATGTTCATCAGCTTCCCTTGTGACACAGCACACCAAGCTCTTTAGGAAGCTGTCCCAGCTCACACAGGAGCAGTGTCTGCTTACCACACTGTGACAGCAAGGCAGGCAAGAGAGGGTCAGATACTGGCAGAGAGAAACACTCAAAGTTCATGAGGGGTTAAACAGGATAGATTTAATAAAGGACTTGCACTCCAAGCTGCACAGGGAGCCCTGGGAACCACGAGGAGGGGTCGCCGACAGGAAGCTGCTGGACGCTTGAGTCGGACACCCAGGTGGGACTCTCCCTGTGTATCCCAAGGGCTCCCTTTTATTTACTAAAACTATTTCCTTATCTCACCTGTGCTAACCTTGAGAAACTACTGTCTGGGAAGCAGCTAGACATTGTTGACAAAACGGAATATGCATGCCTGGCCCTGATGGGAATTCGGTCAGTGTGCAGAGAGCACACTCTGGGTCTGCTATCAGTCACCTGACTCCTCACCAGCTCTTCTGCAGGTGTGCTCATTACACTCCACCCCCTGACTGACAGAGATGTGGTGTTGGTGCCACCAGTGTGTGGACAAGGTTCAGACATGCCTTTCCGGTATTAGCCTAACTAATGGATAAAGTGTACAAGCAACTAAATCATAGTGAAGATATACATACACACACACACACACATGTGTATATATATATGTATATAAAATTATAACATGCATGCACACAAACTAATCAGCCCCGAAAACCAGGAGCATAATGCATTTTCCCCATAGTCCTAATCAGACAGCCATGATGACAGTCACTGCCATGGGCTGTCCTGCGCTGATTCTTTGTATTTGACATTGAGTAGTCCTTGGAGTAGACTCATAACCTTGTGGATGTTGGGTTCAATGTGCTCACCGCAGTTCCGTCGGTGTCCCAACTGCCCTCAGTGTACAGGGATCAGACGGAGAGCAGCAATGTTGTGGCTGCACTTGACATATTCGTCAGGTCTCAGTTCTCTGAACAAGAGTCTCCTAGAGGGGACATGGACTGGGACACTTTCCCCTTTGATTAGTACCAGGTGGGTGTCTCCTGGCCCATCAGCAATGATTTCCCCTTCCGACTGTTCGGGTTTAGTCGGATCATGCACCCACACAGCATGCCCTGTAGACCCGAAACCGCCAGGTTGCTGAGTGGGCTGCAAGGGATCTACTTCCCGGATAGTGGGGACCCCTATCCGCTCACATGTCAATTGGGCTTTTTGGTCTCCCTGTGTACATTGCAGGGGTTGGGATCTGGTGTAGTGGATTGCAAGCTTCACCTCCTCAAGGTAGATCGAGTCAATGACCCCTGCAACAATGTCCACCCCCCTGGAGACCTAAACTATTACAGGGCACCAAGTGACTGCAATACTCTTGAGGTATGGCGACGGCCAACCCCATACTCAGAAGATGACAGCTATCCAGTTCTAGGGTTATTTCTTTGTGTGGCAATCGCAGATCCAACCCTGCACTCTCAGGCGTGGCTCGCACCGGGCTGGGGGCTCCAGCCGTTGCACTCTAAGCACACGCGGCTGCTCGATGGACTCCCCTTTGAAATGAGCATATGGGGTAGAGCCATGCAGTGGGCGGTCATTGAGGCAGGCAGTTGCCTGACAAATGTTTTTGCTCCAACCCGTGAGGGTACCAGCAGGGGACAATTTGTGCAGCTGCTCTTTGAGCAGCCCGGTCATTTGTTCTATCAATTCTGCACCTTATGGATGGTAGGATATGTTATATGTCCAGGCTATTCCTCAATCCTCGGCCCAGTTTTGAATGCCCTTCCCTGTAAAACGAGTGCCCTGGTCACTTTGGATCTCCACCAGGGAACCATATAACCCAGTCAAGTCTTCTAATGCCTTCATGGTGTGAGCCTGGGTACGTGCGGAGCAAGAGTGGGTGTACAATAGACCAGAGCAGGTACCTACAGCGGTCAGGACATATCTGTGCCGCTGGCTCTCTAGTAAGGGTCCGATAGAATCAATTTGCCACCCCTCCCCAGGCTTTTGCCCTCTGCAGATGTAACGCTTTTTGGTCCGCAACTGTTGCGGAGCTGAGCCAGTACAACAGGGGCAATGCTGCCTGGCCCCTGTTTGTGCCACTCTGTGCACGCTGCTGGCAGGGCAGTGGGTGTTGTGGGTCCCCCCCGGCGCTCTCCAGGCTGCTCGCCGCG